TCTGCCACCCTGCCTCAGAGCCAGCTGATTATGGATTGAAACCTCTACCAACTGTAAACCAAAGAAATCTTTCCCCCTTTAACTTTGGGTGTCTGGTATTTTGTCTCAGCAACAAGAAAAGTAACAAACACAGTCTCCCAAAGCTAATTATTCAGTTGCGAGGAACAAACAAGAATCTGGCCATCAGAGGTTACTTTAAAACTATATACCATAATGGTGTTAAAATTACTCTTTGTCTTAATGTGCATAGGTCAGCTTAATAAAGAAAGTTATGGCCTAGAAGAAGGCTGGGCAGCACAGTAAAATTAAGATGTGATAAAAGTCCTGGAGATAATTCATAAAAGAGGATAATATGCACAGCATAGTCAAAAGTTGACAACAGAATCAAAGGGCTCATTTCCTCTGCATTAACCGATAGAAAATGAGAACAACAATAACGAACATATGAAGAACTTGCTACTAAGATATTTGGAAACAATTGATTCATGGGAAAAAATAAAAATCTTATGAGTTATGTAAATATACATTTTTTTCTATTCCAGTGTCTGCATTTTTGTTAAATCCTGATCTAAACAAAATTTAAAAGGAAAATACTTGTTGGAAGGCAAGAAACAAATCTGTTCGAGTATGTTCATCTTTTGCCCATAAGTTCTCAATGTAGTGCCCCATGAATCAACTTGTCTAAATGAATAATCACTCAATGTTTAATTGAGGCATGTGGCTTTCTATTTTTCCATTTTACTAGCATTTGTGATCTCATTTTAATTTTTCCAACATAATGCCAATACTTTCCTTTAAAATCTCAGAGAAATTAAAAATAAACCTCCAATATTTCCATGCTGAAAATTACAATGCAAAGAATCTACTACCATGGGTCCTGTCTACTTGTTCTGTATGACTTACAATCATAGAGGCACCAAAACACTGCTTCAGGGTACAACAAACATAAAATCTTTATGCCCAAATAACAAACTGATCTTGGTTAGTTTCTTTAACTCTAGGTGCTCAGGAGGCCATTTAACTTCATCTTTCCTTCTTAATTTTTCTTAAATACAAAGGCTATTGGTCACAAGAAAAGAGCGGCTAATGAACACTGTCTTCAAATGTTGTACAATTCCCCGTTATTTGTACTTTGCAAAAGCTTAATTCATTTTTAAGGACAAACACTAAAATTAAGGTAGAACCTTGGAAGTCTCTCAAATTTTGAGGATACTGCCAAAATGTCAATTTTAATATGAATAAAGTCATATACACAAAATACATAAAAATACACAAAACGTGTATTTCCAAAGAAAAGGCCACAGAAATACCCACAATCCTTTGGAATTAAAACCCTGCAACAATCTGAACTGGTACAAAGAGGTTGCTGCCTTAGAGACGAGGTCTGACTCATTTAACATTCTCAACTGACTTCTGTTGTATAACCTTGCATTAAACATGAGAAGACAGCAGGGGTGTGCTCTTAGGGTTTTGTCATTCCTTACAACTAATTTCAGCTGGATTTCAGGTCATCCTGAAGTAAGACAGGATGGCTAAAAAAGGCAGGGAAACAAGTTTCAATGCTACAGACCAGAAGGTAAATTAGAGACTATCAGTTTCTCCCTTCCTATAAGCTATGACCCAAATTATCAAATGAACTGAGGCATGAAGAAGTAATATTTCAGCAAGGCTAAATGCCCACATAATGATCCATACATCCCATTCCCTTCTATCATCTAAAGTATAAACTCTCTTATCCATCCATTAAAAAAAAAAATCTAGTATTCATGACAGTCTACATAGTCTAAGTCAACAATGTTGCTAGAAGATGTAGTGATGAAACAGTATGTAGTGATACCACATACTGGTTATGGTAGGTAAATATGAAATTGTTCTTCAAGACTCAAGTTAAAATAAGGACAGACTTTAAAACATTTAGGACTTTGCAAAAATGTATATTTAGTAATAAAAAGTGGGGAGTAACCTTGGATTTTACAGCCAATCACCCTTTGACAATATTTCCTGAGTGTACTGGTAGGTACATAAGGCAATTTAAGTCCTCAGAAACTCAAAGCTGTTGGGTGTATTTTATTCCATTAGTGTGGTACTGCAAAATAATTCCACAATCTACTTTCAAGACCAAAGTGTAATATAATTTACCTCTGGAATTGTTTGCTTGTTTTTAAAATAATGATCTTTTTACTCTTCTAAGTATATAAGTTTAAGCAAATAAGGTATTACCTTGAGACCCACTAAAATATACAGTATTAGGAAAATTTTCAAGAAAAACCCAAAACATAAGATCCTCTGAAATAAGAACTACTTAATTTTCCAAAGTCACCCTGTCTGAACAAGTGATAATAAAGATTAAAACCACAGGAAAATAGCACCATTACGTTTCTATGGCTGAAGTTAACAGTTTGTTTTTAATGTGACTTTTAAGATAGGAGAGATGTTATACTATAGAATGAAAATCGAAAATTGTGTACAATAACTGGCTGTTTGATAGATTAAGATTAAACAAATGTGGTAGTTTAGGTAGACATAAACTGATTGTCTGTGTTAGTGATGGTAAAACAAGACTGTTAATGTATTTTCTATATGATGGTGTGGACATTTACCTTGATAGGGAAGATGAGAAATGAGCTCCAATTTTTTGCATACACCTACATGATTAAGGAAAGAACTTTTGAACTGAGGAAAATTTAGGTAAAATTGATACAAAGTACATGTTCCATGTGTATTTGTTTTTGTTGTAGGTTCAATCCTATTGCTAAATTTTCTTTATCTCTACGATCCACTAGTTTTGATATTTCACCTAGTTTACGATGGGGCAGTAATGTTTCTGTTGTTTTGTTGTCTTTCAGTCACATGCTAGAGTTCACAGAATGACATATTCACTTGTCTTTTTACTGTTGTTTGTAGCTCCCAAGTGTCCACATTTGTTCTCATTTTGGGCTTCTTGTGCTAGCTTTTGGATATCATTTCATATAGGACTTTGGGCAGTGGTGGCAAACCTATGGCACAGATGCCACAGTGGGCTGTTTGTATCATTAAAAGCTTTAAAAGGTTCACCGTCACTGCATTAGGAAGTCTTCCATATATCAAACAGCCAGTTATCCTACACAATTTTCCATTTGTTTAGTTGGTTCTTTCTTACCTGTACCACTTTATTCACGGTGCTATGTTACTTCTGACTTTATTTCATTCTATAGTATCACATCTCTATCTTAAAAGTCATATTAAAAACAAACTATATTAATTTCAACCACAAACACATAACTCTGATCTTAGAAAGTTTTTGCATTTAAAAGTTGAACTTTTGATAATATTAATAACTGCAAAGTGCATTCAAAATACAGCCTATTTTGATGGGCAACTTTCATAACTATAAACCATGATTGATTTCCCGATAGCTGCACGTATATACCTTCATGAAATACAAACAAAGAAATCCTAATATCAGTGAATATATTCCTACAATCCTACTGAAAAACTACCCAATAACAACATTTATAAGCTAGAATTGGCTATAATTACCATCATAGAGAATAAGTCTGTAATAAAAGCACTGCTTTCTGCTCAATATAAAATAAGTACCTTTTTTCTTTAATGTAAAATAAGAATGAATTAAAAGTTACAGATTATTCTAAGAAAAAAATATGCCACATCCTAATGTTATTTAGATGCATGCACACACACACACAATAAACACACATACCCTGGAGTCAAGAAAGATGAGAAAGTAAATTAAAAGCCTCAAACAAAAAAAGATACCCCCAAGAAATACATCATGTCTTTTCTAATAATGAACACACTTAATTTTCCTTGATATTGCATAATTTGAAAAAATATATAAAATAAGTTCTGTGAAAGAATTCCAACCCCAGTATTGTGTTACACAAAATGAGAGAAAAGCAAGAAGAGGAAAGAATATTCTTTTAACTGAAATGATGGGATATATTGTCAAACATTATCCTTAAATAACGGTCTCTGGGAATCTTTCATTTAACATAAGCTTAATAAAAGGGAAAATATCCACAGATCTTTTGTTTTGTTTTTCCAAAAGGTTAAAGAGAACCCTTCTGTGAGAGAGAACCCTACCTAAGGACAAAAAAAAGAAAAAAAAAAAAAAAGAAAAAAAAAACTTCTTCACTTTTCAACATCTCGTTCGATATAAATAAAACACCATTACTTTGCAACTTCCTGGACTGTCTTAAGTGGAAAAACACGCACACACATACACACACACAATCAACGTCCTTACTCCTTTTGCCAGGCAGCAGCTCGGGTTCAGAAGATGAACTTTAATTAGACCAGACTGAGATTTGTCCCTATAGGTGTGACCTTGGGTACTTCATTTATTCTCTCAGTTTCCTCATCAGCATCCCGAAGGGAAAGCGCTTTGAAAACAGAGGAGGTGCAAACATACTTAGGGAGTGCACCTAGGAGGATCAAGCTTCCTGCTTAGGGAAAAACTACATTCTTAGTGGGGTCACGTCTTAAAACTGGAACTGAATCCGTAGATCTGTCAACATCTGACTCTTCTTTCTCCAAGTCTCCTTTTCCCTCAGAGGGCATAACCCGAATCACTTTAAATGCAGATTCTCAAGCATCCCTTTCTCCTCTACTGCTTCCCTAGCTTACTAAGAAAGCAAAGGGAAAACAGCAGCCTCACCTCTCCACCCCACGCCACACCTTTAGGGGACCTCACCCCAGGCACATCCGCCCTCTCTCCTCTCCCTGAGCACCAGAGGCCAGCATCGCCCTTCCCCTCCGCCCTTACCTAGAGGACTTCCTGGAGGCGTTCAGGCCCCAACCCGGCAGGAGGCATTTACAAACCCGCTTTACGCTACTCGCGTAGGGTAACCTCGCTTACGCCCATAGGGCCCCTCTCCCAGCCCCGTCCGCTCCGCCTGCCCGAACCGAGCCCGAGTGCCTCAGCCACGGGCCCCCTGTGACCCCAAACCTCCTCTCCTCTGTGCGGAGCCATGAGGACTGATAGAACAGCCACACCTTACCGACAACTGAGGTACTGACTTCACTTCCCACCTTTGGAGCCCTCTTCAACTCCCGGATCAATTCACTCCGGCGACGCCGGAAGGACCCGAGAGGAACCAGGCGTTGTCCGGAATCCTGCCCAGCCGGAGTCGCGCAAGGACCTATGGGGACTAGTAGTTTTACTCGCCGTGATTGCCTGCTACTCCTGAACTCGCTAGACTACAATTCCCGGGAGGCAGTGCGGGCGAACCTAAGGCGATGGGTGGGGACACTTTCAGCCAATAGTAGCAGAGTTCCCTGCCCATGCGGGAGGAGGTGAAATGAAGAGAACGAGTGCAAGGAAGGGAGAAGAAGGGCGGGGCCAGCTCTCACCTGCACCAATCAGGAGGCGGAGCTGGCTCCGCCGGCGCCTCACCCATGGAGGGGGTGGGCTAGCGGAGCAGAGGAAGGAAGAGGGTGGGGGCCTGAGGTGGGGAGTGTGGGGCTGCTGGGCGGGCGACACCTCGAGTCGGGGTGTAGGGAGGGCGTAGTGTGGGACGCGCCCCGGCCAGAGAAGTCGCTTTCCCGAGAGTTGCCGAGCCCCGCGCACAACCGGCAGCCAGAGCCGCAGGCTGGGAGGGGCGGCTTGGCCGGGGCCCGGTGTTAGGCTGAGGAGGGAGCGAGAAGCCCCCAGGGAAAGGAAGCGGCCGAGCCCGCGCGCCCGCAGGAGCGGGAAGCACCCGGCCACCTCTTCCCGCTGCTCCAGCCTCGGCGGTGGCGGAGCAGCAAGGGGAGGAGCAACAACTGCCGAGTCCGCCAACGGGAGCAGTGGAGGCGGAGCCGGAGCTCTGGAGCCGCCTCGGGCGCTGCCTGGGCTGTAGTTTCCCGGGAGAGAGGAGGAGGAGCGGAGCGGAGCGGAGCGCAGCCGGGAGCCCAGCTCCAGCCTCCCGCCAAGGGTAGCAGGTGTGTGGGAGGTAAGCGCGGTGTCCCGCTCGAGCATCCGCACCCTGCCCGGAAGAAAGCTTCTTCCCCAGCAATTATAGGAAGGCACAACTGCAAGAGTCTGGCTTGAGTTAGTAAACCTGTGCAAACCCTGACGGGTAAAAGATGTAGGTTTTTGGACTTTGAGGGAGCAAAAAACCAAAAGGTAGCTTGACCCTGAGTATAAAGGGCATGGTTAGTGTTTTGGGTTTGAGTTGCATCAACTGTTCAGGGAGATCGGCAAGATTGAGCGAAGTCCTGCTTATGAAGGGTAAGTGGTTTGATACCTGGGTAGGTGCGTAGCTAGTAAAAAGCAAAAATGTTGTCATTGATACAGAATTACTTTAGAACTGTTTCACTAGGAAAATAACTTCGCGTTCCTATTCTATGTCTACCCTTTGCGTTGCTTTATCAGATTGTCCTGCTACCGACCCGTTATCCAGGGTGGTTATATTGCAGGTTCCTAGAATTACAAGAGATTTGTATTAAGTAAATGTAAGCAAGAGTAGTCAGGCCAGGACGAATTCGGATAGAACCTATCAGAAGTAAAACTTTTGCTAGCAGTAACCTGAAAATATATTTTAATGGGTGGATATTTAGCTTTCCTTTCCGTGGCTCTGGAATATCGAAAACAAAGACTTGGGCTAAGCCTACAATGGGAACATATGGTGTATTTCATTGCTGCTTCTTATTCTCATTTGTGTCTGGTAACATTTGCACATTTTAAAAAACAAGAGTTCAAGGAAAGCTGTGTAAGGATCTTTTCTCGGTTTAGAACGTATTTGTAAAATGATTAACCTTAATACTGTATGTGTTATAATGGATTCAGGTTTCAAATACATGTAGTGTCGTAAAATATTAGTTTATTCTCAGTATTAAATCACGTGTATATTCCTTTCAATGTTAACTATAATATTTCTGGAAACCTGTAATGCTAGGTAAAGCTAAAAGACGCACCTAGCTTTGTGTAACTATGACAAAATTACAGCCTCCCCTTTGTAGAAAAGCAATAAGAATCTATTTGCTTAGTTCACTTTCATTTTCTTTTTGTTACAGAGTTCCCCAGATTTTAATCATAGTAGCATATTGCAGCATATTTTGCTCTGAAATGCCTTCATTGTGACAGTGGAGTATTTCAGTCTGTCTGTATACTGTAATCTGGATTGTTTTGAACTATGGTCAATAAAATGGAGTAATTAACTTCTATTTTCATACTTCTATTTTTACTTAGGATTTTGAATTTTATTTTTGTAATGCACACACATTTCCTTTTTGAGAAGAAATGACTCAAAGGTTATTATTGCCTTCCTCGTTTAAAGTTCAGTCCTACTGATTGCTACTACTGATTTTGCTACTAGTGCACTTATCAGTGTACATCCCTCTCTTCCCACATTCTCATGCACCAGAGAAATATTCACAGATCAATCTTTAAAAAGCAGCGGCCTTTAGATTGTCCCTAAGCAGATCAGGTAATTGTTAAAAGCAGCTAAGAGCTTAAAAGAAAGAAAAAACGACAATAGCCACTAAATTTAGCAGTCATGTCATGATAAGGATCAGATTGTATCTTTGCTACATCACTGGGGAATCTATTAATCCGTGTGCTGATAGGACCTCATGAATGATTTTTTGGTGGGGGGAGTGGACACTGGGGTGTAGGGAAGCTTGGGAGATTGAGTTTACCCTTGTTATTTGTGGTTAAATGAATTGTCTTTAATCAGAGCCTTAGATTTTCAGGCACCACTACCAATTCACGTGGTGAAATTGAACACTCACTGCCTCTGGGTTATCTCCCTTCCCCATGTAATATAATAGTTAATTATAAGATGATGAATTTATGTCAGGCCCTTTATTAAAGAATCTTTTTGAAAGAATTTTGTTAACCAAGTCAATGGGTAGACGATAATAACAAAATAATTTAAATTCAGGTGTACATTGAATCCCAACTATGTCTATGGGGCTTCTGCCCCAAGGTATCATACATAAGACTAGAATTTCATTAGGAAAGAATAAGTTGGTGGTATTAAAATACCGAAGTGTCCTGTTTCCAAGATTTGGATCCTTTTAAGAGTGTCAATGAAAAATAGGTTCTTGTGTCATATAGGAGGAAGACCATGTTTTTATGTGAGAGAAAAATATCAGCAGTATGATATTTGGGTATTTGTTACCTTGAACTCTTCACTTATATTTATTTTAAATATAAATATGTTTACATTTAATCTCAAATAATCAAGACTTTTCTTGATTGGTATTCAGAACGCTCATTAATTTTATTTAAAGCATTATTATTTTTTCTGCTCTTTTACAACTTGCATTTGGCTACCCCCGAGAGTAAAATATGACTAGAAAAAAAAAAAAGTAGTGCAGAATATCTCTCTTGAATTGAAATTGTTCTGGAGATGACTAACCTTAAGCCAAAAGACTTATTTAATTTTAAATTACACTATCTTTTGGACTTTTTAAAAAAATTTAAAATCCTAATTCTAAGCCTATTGAGTAAAAATAATTGAGTAACACGGATTTCTAACAGAAGGATCTATTGATGCATATGACACAAAAGAGCAATATTGAAAGGTTTAAGATCAAATGTTTTTGTGTAGATAGGGACAGGTATTAAAAAACTGCTTGAGAAACATACCCTAAGCCTGAGAGAAAAGTGATTTGAGCTTTTTTGTAGAATTCTTTTAAGTGATAACACTCCTGCAATTACTCATTTCTAGGATCCTATAACCATAGTGTAGATACTACTTTTCTACATATGTATTTGCAATGGAGTCATACTGGCATTAATTCATTAGATTTTGAATAATTATGGGTTATTAAAGCAAAAAAGAGCCTGTCTGTGTATACATTCACTTCTAAGTGGGAGATTATTGCTTGGGAAAGAAGTAAAAAATTAAAATGTTTTCCCCCTCAATAAGTAATACAGAGTAGACAATAGAACAAGCGCCTATTTATTTATTTATGCAAATTCAAGTTTGGGAATTGTGTTTTAAGTACTAGATTGTTAGCTCTCAATATACTTTTCTATCTCCTGTTGAAACTGAGCACCTTATGTCATATTCAGCATAAAGAATTTGCCCTGTGACCACTTTCTGAATTAAAATTATTGGCCAATACTTGTGTTATGTACACATAGAAACATTTTGTACTTTGATAGACAAGAGTCGCTTGATCTCACAGAATGATTATTTTACCATACATTACTTTTGAAAATGTGTGGTTCTAATTAGCTTTGCAAAAATGTCGATTGAGCCCAGTTTAATTCCGTCTGTGTGGGCAGCAAACATCACAAAGGTAGGGACTGGAGCCGAGGGAGAAGAGCTCTTCCACCGGAGGAACCAAAGGTTTGCATTTTACATCCAGACAAGCCTATGGCTCACCCCATTTACTTTCAAGTCCCTAAAGACATACCTTTGTTAAAGCTTATCTTTAAAAAAAAAATTGTACTTCCTCGTACTAAAAGTGAATTTGTGCTACTTTTCTCCACCTGCTCCCCCTAAAAAAGAAACAAGAAAATCAGTCTTATTAATTTTGGTTAAACATTGTTTTGAATTTGACATACCAGAAACAAATTAATCTGATTAAATTAGAATTAAAAATTAAATTAAATTAAATTGGAATTTAAAATTTAGTATGCTATAATTAGCTGGGTTCTTCCTCACCAGATACTTTGTATCTTTAGAACTAAGACAAAGTTTTGACTTTTGAGAGCTTAATACATAGTCCGTACTTGGTAGGTGGTAACAATTTGTTCAGCTACTTGGACACTATAATGAAACATCATTTCACAAACAAATATTAAAAAAGTGAATTTTCTTGGACATTTGTTTTAGCAATAAATTCAGCCTTTTGCCCACAGAAGTTGCTTATATTAGAGCTAAATAATAAAATATGTATCACTGTCTTTTGTTGGATTCTGAATATATAGAGCAAATATTACCATTAACCACAACCTTTGTATGTGTGTGTGCTTTAGATAAGAATTTATTCATTGGATGCCATTTGAAATTTGGTCCTTTTTCTCTCCTTGACTCTAGAATTCTGTTTTAAAGATGTGCTTTGAAGCAATATTTTCCCAGCACACATCTATATACATTGTATGACTTTTTTTCCTTAACATGTGGAAATAACTTTTAAAAAATTAAATGTAACATGAAGTTTTATCTCAACCAGTATTTAAATGGTTTTGAATGTTTTAATTTTAGTGAAAGTTTACATTGGGAGGCCTTTTTATGGATTACTAAAACAATTACACAGGTATTTATTTTTTTGAGTTGTAGCAGGAAGAGATAAGTTTCAAGCCTTGGCTTTCTATACTGTTTAGCTGCTGAAGCTTGCACGGTTTCCATAGCATCAGCCTGGGGTTTGAGGACCCCTTCTGGTTTAGCTTAGGAAAGGAGCCTTTTGGATTCCTCACAGCTTTTAATTTAGTGGCAAACCAGACAGATGGAATTTACTTGGATTTAATAACCTAATTTTTCTAAATATATGTTTTTCCCAGATATATCTTGTACTGGAGTTATCAGTGACACTAGCTCAAATGTCACAAAGTGATTTCCATAGCAGAGTCTGGCAATTCAATGAGTACCTATCAACTTGTTCATTTCTTGTCTAGCGTCTTAGCTTTTTGTTGTTTGTTGGTTTGATTTTTGGAACCAGAAAAACTCACTAGGACATTTCTGATACTTTACCCACATTTTATTCCTTTTTTCATTTTCCCGATAACATAAATTTTGTGGTTGTTTTTGAGTTCTTTTAACCCTATTTAACTTGAGTTAGTTAATTTTTCTACCTCTTGATAGAATCTATGAATAGTATATTATGAAGCATATCTTTTGCCATTCACTTGAATTAAACTTGTTATTGGAGCATTTAATTGTCATTTATTTCACAAAGTAATTTAAAGTCATTGAAGCAGTTAATATCTTTGAGATATTTATCCTTGTAGTTAAGAAACTTCTACTTACCATTCTAAATTACTTGCAGATATTAAATTACTTATCTTACATCATAAATCCTTTCACATATCAGGTAAAAGTTTGTACAGAACTGTTATTTTTATAGCTACATAACAATGGTATATTTGGTTGGGTAACTCGGGGAATTTTTTTAAAAAATTACATGATCTTATGTATAAGTCATATATCTCTGTAAAGTATTTTTTTCTGTATTTCAAGTTTCCATAATCATGTCATATTCTAAAGTCTAACTTAAAATTGTAAAAGCCTACTACTTGCAACTTTTTAAAAAAATATGACTGAAGCTTAGGTA